ATGTGTGAAATGTTATGAATGTTGAATCTTCAACAAAAATAATGTATGATATTGCTATATGCTAGTGTGAAAGAGAATAAAGAAAGAGGATAGTTCTAGCATTTATGATAGAGCAAGTTTTCTCTTATATTTTACACATTTACTATGTTTTTACATATCTATTATATATGTGCGCCTTTGTTTATTCTGTATACTCTAACGTGATGTGTTAAAAATATTAATAAAAAGTTCAACCAGATTCATTATTCCATTTGAACTTGCATTGAACTCTATGTCCTAAAATATAAATATTATATTATAAAAATCTGTATTAAATAATATAAATGTTTTCATAATAATAGTGATTTAACATAAGAATAGAACAATATACTCGGTACCGCTTATTTAAAAAGAGCAGTTTCGAAGTGTCTATTTAAAAATTGTCTAGCGGTTTTCCCTTACATCATAACTAATGACTAAACATAAAGCTCATATCCCAAATCAAACATTAACCACAACCAAAATCAAAAACCATAAAAATACTTTTCAAAAATCACTATATAAAAGCCCTACCACCTTGCATAAAACTCACACCTAACATTCGCTATATCCAATATCACTTAATTTCTTACCATGGGAAACTTCAAGATAGCGTATGTTGTTATTGTGAAGATTCATGTGTATAAGTTTACAATAGCCTTGCGCCTTGCCTACATTATCTTCAGAACAGTGGTGTTGTTTCGCCAAGATGTTGTTAGGGTGTTAAAGGGTTAGTTAATGCAGCTAAAACCATTGTTGAATTCCGTGCAACTTATGATTGCTTGAAGTCGGCTATTGCTGCTATCAAAGGAATCAATGAGGACTATGCTACTGCACTCGCTTAAAAATGCGGGACTAGTATCGCTTACAAGATCAGTTCTTCCATCAATTGTGCAAGCTATACATGCATTATCTAAATATTAATTCTAAATGAAAAATAATTTAATTCTTAAAAAAAGGATCCAATTATTATTTTAAATTCGTAAAGTAAATATTTAAATAAATATAAATTATATAAAATGGGTTATTTTTTAAAAGGTTTATAATATAAAACCTCACAAATAAAGTTTAAAGATGGATCCATATTATTCTGGTTTAATTTTATTTTTGTGTATAAATAAAATAAAATATTTTATGTTAAATTATCAAAAATATTAATCACTCCTCATATCCAAATTAATTATGCCACATATTAATTAAAGTAACAATAGGAATTTTATACTATTTGAGTAAAAGTTATGATGTATTTATTTGCACAAAGCTAAATTATTTTATATTTAGATTTTTAAAATAAACAAAGTACTTAGATAGAGAAAAACAAACTGTACTAAATTTGATCAATAATATGGAATAGACAAAAAGTGGTTGCATGCATGAGAAAATTATATACTTTTATATGTGATTTCAAATGAAGACAAATAAAAATATCTATTTGTAATGTTTATACATTGAATGTTGTGATGACATTTTGGTATATAAAAAATAACATTATTTCTTCTTATTATATTATATATTTTTTTGTAGTATCAAATGTGTGAAATGTTATGAATGTTGAATCTTCAACAAAAATAATGTATGATATTGCTATATGCTAGTGTGAAAGAGAATAAAGAAAGAGGATAGTTCTAGCATTTATGATAGAGCAAGTTTTCTCTTATATTTTACACATTTACTATGTTTTTACATATCTATTATATATGTGCGCCTTTGTTTATTCTGTATACTCTAACGTGATGTGTTAAAAATATTAATAAAAAGTTCAACCAGATTCATTATTCCATTTGAACTTGCATTGAACTCTATGTCCTAAAATATAAATATTATATTATAAAAATCTGTATTAAATAATATAAATGTTTTCATAATAATAGTGATTTAACATAAGAATAGAACAATATACTCGGTACCGCTTATTTAAAAAGAGCAGTTTCGAAGTGTCTATTTAAAAATTGTCTAGCGGTTTTCCCTTACATCATAACTAATGACTAAACATAAAGCTCATATCCCAAATCAAACATTAACCACAACCAAAATCAAAAACCATAAAAATACTTTTCAAAAATCACTATATAAAAGCCCTACCACCTTGCATAAAACTCACACCTAACATTCGCTATATCCAATATCACTTAATTTCTTACCATGGGAAACTTCAAGATAGCGTATGTTGTTATTGTGAAGATTCATGTGTATAAGTTTACAATAGCCTTGCGCCTTGCCTACATTATCTTCAGAACAGTGGTGTTGTTTCGCCAAGATGTTGTTAGTGTGTTAAAGGGTTAGTTAATGCAGCTAAAACCATTGTTGAATTCCGTGCAACTTATGATTGCTTGAAGTCGGCTATTGCTGCTATCAAAGGAATCAATGAGGACTATGCTACTGCACTCGCTTAAAAATGCGGGACTAGTATCGCTTACAAGATCAGTTCTTCCATCAATTGTGCAAGCTATACATGCATTATCTAAATATTAATTCTAAATGAAAAATAATTTAATTCTTAAAAAAAGGGATCCAATTATTTTTTTAAATTCGTAAAGTAAATATTTAAATAAATATAAATTATATAAAATGGGTTATTTTTTAAAAGGTTTATAATATAAAACCTCACAAATAAAGTTTAAAGATGGATCCATATTATTATGGTTTAATTTTATTTTTGTGTATAAATAAAATAAAATATTTTATGTTAAATTATCAAAAATATTAATCACTCCTCATATCCAAATTAATTATGCCACATATTAATTAAAGTAACAATAGGAGTTTTATACTATTTGAGTAAAAGTTATGATGTATTTATTTGCACAAAGCTAAATTATTTTATATTTAGATATTTAAAATAAACAAAGTACTTAGATAGAGAAAAACAAATTGTACTAAATTTGATCAATAATATGGAATAGACAAAAAGTGGTTGCATGCATGAGAAAATTATATACTTTTATATGTGATTTCAAATGAAGACAAATAAAAATATCTATTTATAATGTTTATACATTGAATGTTGTGATGACATTTTGGTATATAAAAAATAACATTATTTCTTATTATATTATATATTTTTTTGTAGTATCAAGTGATGTGAAATGTTATGAATGTTGAATCTTCAACAAAAATAATGTATGATATTGCTATGTGCTAGTGTGAAAGAGAATAAAGAAAGAGGATAGTTCTAGCATTTATGATAGAGCAAGTTTTCTCTTAAATTTTACACATTTACTATGTTTTTACATATCTATTATATATGTGCGCCTTTGTTTATTCTGTATACTCTAACGTGATGTGTTAAAAATATTAATAAAAAGTTCAACCAGATTCATTATTCCATTTCAACTTGCATTGAACTCTATGTCGTAAAATATAAATATTATATTATAAAAATCTGTATTAAATAATATAAATGTTTTCATAATAATAGTGATTTAACATAAGAATAGAACAATATACTCGGTACCGCTTATTTAAAAAGAGCAGTTTCGAAGTGTCTATTTAAAAATTGTCTAGCGATTTTCCCTTACATCATAAGTAATAACTAAACATAAAGCTCATATCCCAAATCAAACATTAACCACAACCAAAATCAAAAACCATAAAAATACTTTTCAAAAATCACTATATAAAAGCCCTACCACCTTGCATAAAACTCACACCTAACATTCGCTATATCCAATATCACTTAATTTCTTACCATGGGAAACTTCAAGATAGCGTATGTTGTTATTGTGAAGATTCATGTGTATAAGTTTACAATAGCCTTGCGCCTTGCCTACATTATCTTCAGAACAATGGTGTTGTTTCGCCAAGATGTTGTTAGGGTGTTAAAGGGTTAGTTAATGCAGCTAAAACCATTGTTGAATTCCGTGCAACTTATGATTGCTTGAAGTCGGCTATTGCTGCTATCAAAGGAATCAATGAGGACTATGCTACTGCACTCGCTTAAAAATGCGGGACTAGTATCGCTTACAAGATCAGTTCTTCCATCAATTGTGCAAGCTATACATCACTACGCCAAATAAGCTATTTAATAGCGCTTTTTTTTGTTTTTGATAGCGCTTAAAAGTGCTATTAACCGCGCCACTATTGTAAATATTTCTTATTTAATAGCACTTTAAAAGCGCTATTAAAGTACCAATTTATAATAGCGTTTTAATTAAAGTGCTATCAAAGTCAGTATTTTGCATGTTTTTTGTTTGTTTTTTTATAGCACTCTAAACAAAAAGCGCTAATATATAACATATGTTTGATAGCGCTTTCAAATAAAGTGCTAATAAATGGTACATATTTGGTACAATATTTTTAATAAGTACAGTACAATATTTTTTCTTACACAATCATTTTTTTTGGTGTAAATATAAAATAACTATATTCAATTCAACACAAATAACGCTTTAAGTTACTCATTGCATATATATTATGATCCATCAAATACCAAATAACATTTTAAATTACCAAATCCTATTGTTTCCAAATATCATAACATATAGAATATTAAGAGGGCGTTTGCATAGCCAAATTTGTAGATGCCCATCTATGAGTACTTCAATCCAAATCCAAAAACATACAATCAAATTCTCTAAACAAAACACCAAAAAAATAAGAAAGGATAAAAAAACAATCCCATGTAGTAACCACCTTCCACTTCTTCAGTTTGTTGCCTCTCTAGCTTCTCTCTATCCACCCTTACTATCTTTTAGATATGACCTCGCCATTTTTGTTCTGAATGCCCTGTGCAACTTTCCAGCTTCTCTATATACAAAGGCACGATGTTCCTCGCCAATTATAAAAGCTTTCTGCAAATAATTCAGTTTATTAAAACATAGTTCAGTTTATTTAAACATCCCAATGGATAGATTAACGAAATTAAAATTTTACAACTAGCTTAAGTTAGTGTGTTACTTCAATTTCATCCCAAATGTTTTGTTTATAAACCCCCACAGCCTCTTTATTTTTTTTCGCGCTCCAATTGTCCAAGCTTATTGGAACTAACCGACGAACTGTGACACCAATGAAACTAGCAAAAGTCTTGCTATTATGCTTGATTGGTTGACCTCTGGAATTCCATTGAACCTATAACAAAATTAAAGTGCAAATAAAGAATCAACAGTCTCACTAATAGTGTTTAACATTCAAATAGTTTCAAACAACTAACTCATAAAAGATAATCATGTATGTAACCATCACTCATACATAGTTCAGTAAAAGGAAAATTGCCAAGAGAGTAAACAGTATCATAAACTAGAATGGCAAGGGGAAACCATATGCTTCTGAGGACACTTACTTGATTCTTTTAAGTGCAGTCCTGGTGACAACATCGGCACCTTGCTCAAAAAGTAGTGGAATTCTATTGGCAAAACGAAATATATTCAAACCCTGAAAATAAATATTGTATATTTGTCAGAACAAACCATTAATAATTTACTATTGTCGAAAAACACAATGACATGACACTGTATAACTAGCTCTTCAGAGTTCTAACAAGCTTTGAAATATAGACATGAGTGTGCATTGAAAGAGAACTTCAGAAAAATAGAATCGGTTAATTAGTAAAACGATTTCATAATAGCTTGTATGTACAATCCAGGTTTATATAGATATCAACCTAAGAAAAGCTACCTAGCTCATTAAACATAACATAATCATAACTACGGTAACTGAACTGATAAAATGTACTGGGTCAGCATACTCTGTTATGTAGAAGAGGAGTGGACATCCCAGCTTTGCTAGAGACATTCAACTACTGCAAAAAAAGTAAGCTAGAGACATCCAGCTACCATACAAGTGCAAAAGCTCCCCTGGTTGCATAGGGATTTTATCAGCAACTCAATCTCAGACTTTATCCGTCTCGGGTAACTCTAACTTTGGCACTCATCAGTAGATGGACCATTTAGTATATTGATGTTAATAATGACTTTCCCAATGGGGAACCCTCGTGAAGAGGTTTACATAATGTAACTTCCCAAGTCTGAAGCACCCAATAAATTACTGGTTTGCAGACTTAACAAGGCTCTCTATGGCCTTACACAAACACCTAATGTTGAGTATGAACAGATCATATCTACCTTGTGACAGTTTGAGTTCAATTCTATCATTGTGATGTGATCCCTATTTATTCATTTTCTTTAAGGCAACCACTTGCCTCTCTGTTTTTATCTACATGGATTACACTATTATTATAGTTTCCCCTTGTTAATGATTTGATCAACAAGTTTAGTTAATAATTTGTACTTAAACACCTAGGATCTTTTTATCACTTTTTGGGAGTTGATGTCAAAGTTCAAACAACTTCGTCATGGTGCTTTTCTACTTACTCAATCAGAATACACAAGGGATCTGCTAAACAGGGCAAAGATGGCAAAAGTCAAAGACATATCTTTTCCTTCAGTCGGTAAGTGCAAGCTAAGTATGGTACTAAACATGCCTTCGAACCTCAAGGACATTTCTTTTCCTACAGTCCATAATTGCAAGATTTATTGTGGAGGCCGTTCATCAATAGTAATTGACACTCAATTATGCAGGTTTTATTGAGGAGGCTGTTCAGTATGCTACTTTGACAAGACCATAGTAATTGACATCAACTATTTCTTTCAGAAAAGATATTTTTAGCACGCATAAATTTCAAACTTAACTGCTATCTAACAATAAATATTGCTGGAAGTGAAACATAACTTGTTTGACATCTTTTCCACCTATACTGATTCCTGCTTCCACAATGAAAGGGTGGCCTTCAAAAACTTGAGCACTGTGTAGTAGTCACAGGAAAATAACTTTTAAGCATACTGAATTATCTATTACCAGAAAAGCCAAGCAGGTAGCTAACATTAAAAACATCTCTAATGGGCCTCTACTATAGGGCATCCATAAACCCTTCAGAACTTTTATAACACGGTCAGAAAGATCAGATATAATTATAGACAGTAAGCTAAATGCCTGTGACGGTCCACAGCGAGAAGGATTAAAAAGAATGGTTACAAGAAGCAATAACTTGAGGTAAGAGTAAGAACTAGCAAAACTTTGATATTGAATCACAACCTGCCAGAATATGTTGCAACCATGTCTGGGTGAAGTTCTTTTATAATTCCTAATCGAAGATTGTATTCGCCAGCAGGGCTAAGACACTGATAATAGACAGTAAGGACATAAGCAATGACGTGAGTAACATAATGAAAAAGTTAATTATGGAACAATGTGTGATGAATGTAAAGAAAAGGGTTTATAATAGACTTCATAACTTACATGACCACTGGGATCATCAAATTTGGCTTGACGAAACAACTGATGAATGCGTACTAGTTGCTGTGATGTTAGAGACTTCACAGCCATTTTTGAGCTGAAATCGGGGCCCATTTCTCCTGAAAAAGAAAAGGAAAAGAGTGTAGTACATAACAAAATGGGATCTAGAATATACACATAGAAATATGTGAGTATAAACTTCATCAAATTTCAAGACAAATGAACTGTTACTAATTTACTAAAATCTCAGCACTAAGCAGTAATTCGAAGTATCTCTTTATGTGCCTTAGGGACAAAAGCATCCACATACGACAGAACTGCAGCAGGCAACCCAACTCATTACTCATTCATTAAAACAAAAGTGAATATAAAACAAAGAGGTATCTTTACTATTCCTATGTTTCAGTATCAACAAAGAAAGCTAGACATGTTTTCTCTCTCCACTTAAATATCTCACATTAATTGCTTTAACAGCAAGGAGAATTAACAATTATCAGGTGGATAAACTCTGTTATCTTTCCTATAAACAAATAAAAATACCAGATTTGCTAATTTTATTCAATGCATGACTGCATACAATCATGTCGACAACCTTAAAGAGGTAGTGGCTGCTAACAAAGAGGACAGACTAAGAAAAGCAATGGAAGCACAAGTGATCATCGGCGAAGAATCGGGCAAATTCGAAGCATGGAGAGACTCGTTAGAAACTGTTCCTACTATCAAGAAACTGAGAGCTTATGCTGAAAGGTTAAGGATTGCTGAGGTTGAGAAATGTTTAGGTAAAATGAGTGATGAGGATATAAATAAGAAGACACAAAAAGCAGTGGATGATCTTGGTAGAGTTATAGTGAATAAAATGCTTCATGGTCCAATGCAACATTTGAGATGTGATGGGAGTGATAGTAGGACTTTGAGTGAAACACTTGAGAATATGCATGCTTTGAATAGAATGTTTGGTCTTGAAACTGAGGTTTCTGTTTTGGAGCAGAAGATTAGAGCTAAAGTGGAGCAAAAACCATAGTGAGATTAATATGAGACCATTGTTGTTGATTAAACTCATTTGTTTAGGATTGAGAATCATGTCAAAAGACAATGATAAAACAGAGAACAATAATAAAACCTCAACATTGTATGAAAAACATAGAACAGTGATGAAACCAACCTGAATGTAGTTAATTATATCAAAGTTTGCAAGTCTTGATCCACCCTCTTGCTGTCTACAGAGCCACTGATCAAGTTTTTCCTGAAATCAAAAAAACATCCAACATTAACGAAATGCCAATTTTTGCTTGGATTGAAAAGAAGAATCGATTAATTGTGACTAAATCACACCAAAACAACAGAAGCCTTATCACTCAAACTAGAACAAACTTTTCAACTCATCTTCAACCAATGTACTGACTTTTTTTCTCTCCATAAAACTTCATTCCTATTTATTCCTAAAATTCTAATAGCATACGCAATAACGGTTTTGGGTTGCAATTCCGCCACAAATAGAGGTCGCTACAAAGTCTTGCACCCAACCCTATCACTTTAGTATTTCACACTGAAAAATGTGTCAAAGGGAATTTGTGAGAAACTTAAACTATCTCAGTTATGCAACCTAGTATTGCTTTATTAGTGAGTGTAGTTAGTTTTTCATGTCATCACACAAAACAAAACTTCAGATTGTAGGGTGTAACCAAGGTCACATTACTTGCCAAGTGAAGGATTCTCTAAATGAACATTACATTCCAACCTTCCTCAACATGTTCCATGGTTCCCTTAATTCAAACAGAACAGTCACATGGGTCGACTGGTCAATGCTTGGTCCTCATCCGGCAACCTATGGGAGGGAAAATATAACTGTCGGTTTTATACAGTCCATAAAGAATAATGGATCGCTGTGTCGATATAATTCAGATATGACTTCTATTTGTTATCTCTTTGCTCGCAAGTTTGATCCTAGTGCATTGGAGCCCTTGCTTAACCTCTCTTCAGAAGTCATGAACTTTTAATTTGTTCTATTAATGGATGTATGTACAAGAGGTCAGATACTTATATTTTTTAGTTTAGTCCCTAGATTCGGTAGAGGAGAAAAAAACTCATTTTGCATTGGTAGATCTGTTGTACAGGTATTGTTATAGAATTTTGATTCTATGCTTGAGAGCATCATTTTGTGGCAGAAACTAACTGCATTTTATTCCTTCCAAGAAGGAATCTATCAATACAGAAATTTTATCTTTTCACCATGTCTCACTTCCATGTGCTTTTTTGGGTTTTAACTTTTCAGTTTTTAATACTGTCAGTACACAGTATTAAATTAGCAACATGCACTTGCTGATTTCTTGAGTTTTGCAACTCTTTTATGTGTAATAAGCAAATTTCTCACTAAAGAGTTATACTATCATGAATTCTCGGCAGAACCTATGCAGATTGAGCAGGATTTTTAGTTGGGACCAATTTCACAATTAGATATTAAGTCTTTGTTTAAAAATCCTAACTAGACTCTTACACCGCTTGATTGATTTCATTCCCTCCCATTTATAGTCAATGTAGGATTAAATCACTTACACTTTATCTCTAAACAATTCATCTATGACAACTAACTGCCAATGTATATTCAGTAGTTTTATACTATGAATCTCTGATTAAACTTATCACCACCTCTTCACCTTAAAACTAGGATACTATAGAAGAGATTACAAGAAAAGAAAAAAAATGTAATTTACACATTTTTAATCTAATAATAAAGAGTTGAAACAGGACTGGGTTTCTTCTAAGCTTCAGTAAAACACAATCTGAAAAAACAGCCCAAAAAGTATTCTCTAACCTCTCAATTCCATCATCTTCTCCGGGAGTGTTCATTCTAAAGGAAGCAAATTATCATAATACTATTCCCTAAAAGAAATAAGCAATTTGAAAGGGAAACTATTAGAGGAGAATGAATAGTGTTATTGATGATTCCTCTTTCTCTAAGGTTGATAGAAAACCATGGTCAGAACATTTATCAAACACTTTGCGGGCAAACCAGAAGAGATAATGAGATTGATACAAGTGGGGCAAAGCTATAGAGAAGAGAAAAGAACGGAGAACGGTGGTGGATGACTTACCGGGAGTGACACGGATTGAGAGCGGCGGAGATCGGAAAGCTCAGAGACGATTGACAAGGAGGTGTCTCCAGTCTTGTTGTTTGGACGTGCAACTGTTTGGACGATTGACAAGGATGTGTTTTGTTTTTTTTTTATCTATTAATTAATTAATTCATTATTATATATAACATAGCGCTATTTAATAAATGCTATTATATAGGTAGTCAAATAATAGCGTTTTATACAAAATGCTATCTTAAAGAGGTTTAATAATAGCGTTCTGGTACAAAGTGCTATCATAATTACATAGTCTGTATTATATAATAGCGCCCGATTAAAAAGTGCTATTATAAATGTGTTTTTTCCATTTTAATAGCATTTTTTTTAAAAGTGCTATTAAATTAGGTGATACAAAAAATCATTTTTGGCGTAGTGCATCCATTATCTAAATATTAATTCTAAATGAAAAATAATTTAATTCTTATAAAAAGGGATCCAATTATTTTTTTAAATTCGTAAAGTAAATATTTAAATAAATATAAATTATATAAAATGGGTTATTTTTTAAAAGGTTTATAATATAAAACCTCACAAATAAAGTTTAAAGATGGATCCATATTATTCTGGTTTAATTTTATTTTTGTGTATAAATAAAATAAAATATTTTATGTTAAATTATCAAAAATATTAATCACTCCTCATATCCAAATTAATTATGCCACATATTAATTAAGTAACAATAGGAGTTTTATACTCTTTGAGTAAAAGTTATGATGTATTTAATTGCACAAAGCTAAATTATTTTATATTTAGATATTTAAAATAAACAAAGTACTTAGATAGAGAAAAACAAATTGTACTAAATTTGATCAATAATATGGAATAGACAAAAAGTGGTTGCATGCATGAGAAAATTATATACTTTTATATGTGATTTCAAATGAAGACAAATAAAAATATCTATTTATAATGTTTATACATTGAATGTTGTGATGACATTTTGGTATATAAAAAATAACATTATTTCTTCTTATTATATTATATATTTTTTTGTAGTATCAAGTGATGTGAAATGTTATGAATGTTGAATCTTCAACAAAAATAATGTATGATATTGCTATGTGCTAGTGTGAAAGAGAATAAAGAAAGAGGATAGTTCTAGCATTTATGATAGAGCAAGTTTTCTCTTAAATTTTACACATTTACTATGTTTTTACATATCTATTATATATGTGCGCCTTTGTTTATTCTGTATACTCTAACGTGATGTGTTAAAAATATTAATAAAAAGTTCAACCAGATTCATTATTCCATTTCAACTTGCATTGAACTCTATGTCGTAAAATATAAATATTATATTATAAAAATCTGTATTAAATAATATAAATGTTTTCATAATAATAGTGATTTAACATAAGAATAGAACAATATACTCGGTACCGCTTATTTAAAAAGAGCAGTTTCGAAGTGTCTATTTAAAAATTGTCTAGCAATTTTCCCTTACATCATAAGTAATAACTAAACATAAAGCTCATTTCCCAAATCAAACATTAACCACAACCAAAATCAAAAACCATAAAAATACTTTTCAAAAATCACTATATAAAAGCCCTACCACCTTGCATAAAACTCACACCTAACATTCGCTATATCCAATATCACTTAATTTCTTACCATGGGAAACTTCAAGATAGCGTATGTTGTTATTGTGAAGATTCATGTGTATAAGTTTACAATAGCCTTGCGCCTTGCCTACATTATCTTCAGAACAGTGGTGTTGTTTCGCCAAGATGTTGTTAGGGTGTTAAAGGGTTAGTTAATGCAGCTAAAACCATTGTTGAATTCCGTGCAACTTATGATTGCTTGAAGTCGGCTATTGCTGCTATCAAAGGAATCAATGAGGACTATGCTACTGCACTCGCTTAAAAATGCGGGACTAGTATCGCTTACAAGATCAGTTCTTCCATCAATTGTGCAAGCTATACATGCATTATCTAAATATTAATTCTAAATGAAAAA